GGGATGGACAGTCGGCAGCACAACGCCACCAAGGAGCCCGAGATTGAGCTGTTTGTGAAGGTGAGTCTCAGCGGGGACGGTGACTCTTTGGGTCACCCTCACCAGGATGCAGCTGGGCACAGGTGGTGGGAATTCACAGATGACTTCTGTGAACCCAGAGATGGGTACCAGATTTGATGTTGCTCGCTATGAAGGCTGGCTAAGCAAGTGCCCAGAGGAGGGGACAAGGCACAAAGTGGTGTGAGGACTGTGGAGTGTCATGCCCTGAAGCCTGGAAAATGCCCTGGTCTTGTGGTGGCCATGCACCCTGGGGGAGCAGCACTGCTGGCAGCTGGTGTGATGAAGGAGTGGGCACACACGTGCCTCCCAAAAGCCAGATAAGACAAGCCCCAGCCTGGGAACATTGAGCAGGAGGGCTGGGAGCAGCCACTTCAGCTTCTGCTGTGAGCCAGGTTGTGAAATGAGCACGGATGGCTTGGGGAGCCGCTGAAGGAGCCCACGTGTGGGCGGGATGGGGCGGTTTTGCAAAGTGGTGGGGTTATTCACTGGAAATGGTTTCTGTTTTCTTCCTTGTTAAGTAATTTTCTGAACCTTTTCCTTGAAATGTTTAAACACTTGAGTTCAAAATATCTGCAGTGAACATGTGGGGTGCACAAAGAAAGGAGCCAAAGCTGTCAGCTGTTAAATGTATGTGCCTGCAGCAATACCAGTGGGGCCTCAGGACATGCTGTCAAGTGACAGTGACTGGAGGGGTGATGCCTCCCTGTGCCACCACATTAAGGTTTTAAGGATAGTTTCCCCATAGCCACTCCTGGGGCAGCTCAGTGTCTGAATGGACCATGGCACTGGGCTGGAGTCACTGTTTTCCCTTGCTCAGGCATCCAGCAATGCTGGGCACTACACAGTGCCTTCCTTGGGTCATAGCTGGAAATATGTGTTGGAAAGGATTATCTGAGCCTTCACAGGAGGAATCTCCCCCATCCCCTTGCCAAAATTGTGGTCATGGCACTGCTTGCTGGACATCAAGCTTGCCTGAACCAAATCAGACAAGTGTACTCTTGGTGAAAGTAATCTGGGTCTTGAATTCCCTGCTTAGCACTTCTCTCCAGCGTGTCAGGAAAAGAAAATGATACATGAGGTGATTGCAACAGCAGCACCACCATTGATGGGGGTTTTCAGAGGGAAGCGAAACAAAAAACTAGCAGTGTCATCAGGACTTCCCCTGTGCCTTAATTTAGCATGAAAAAACCCTTCTGGCTTGTCTGTTCACAGACAACTCGATGCTGTGCCTCCTCTTCCAACCCATCCTTACTGAAGTCTCAGTGGCTCTGGCTGCTGACAGGCACCTTCCTGTGCCATTGGCACCTCCTTGAGCTAGGAGGTGGACTGGACACGGCTGCTGGTGTGGCCGGTGACAGCTGTAAATCATGGTGGGAGCCAGTGCTCCTGCAAGCACCGACTGGCATGACATGGCACAGCATGGCAGAGCATGGCACCCTGCTTGGTTTCACTCCAGCAAATGCTGGAGTTACCTTGGTGAGGATGGGCAGGGTGCGGAGCATCTCCTGCTTTGCCCTTGCCTTGGGTCAGGTGGTCCCCAAGGGGCTGGCAATTCCTCACCCTGCCATGCCCCCAGGTGAGCATTGTCCCACTGGCTGGGGGCTCTTCCTTCCCGGGAGGAGACTGTGCTCTGCAGTCCCACCATTCAGCTGCTTCCTGGTGATCCGGGTGTCTGAAGGAGCTGTGGCAGGTCTGTGCCGGTGCCCGGGGCTGAGCACTTAGCAGTGCCCCAAGCAGGCAAAGCTGCTCTCTCCTCCCACTTCGTTTCAGGCTGTTTCACCAAGGGGAAACCACAGGAACTGCCAAGTAACTTTGGGGTTTGAATGCCCTGTGCAGCCCTGAGGCCTCAGAGAGTTTGGGATAAAAGTGTGCATCCCCTAGAGATGCCATGCTAGCCCACGCTGGGTTTATCCATCATCTGAGGGCAAAAGAGTGAGGAAAGTCAGTGTGGAGGGCTGCAGGCTCTGTGCCCCAGCCGCGGTCCCTGTGGGGTGGGGTGGGGAGGCTCTCTCTAGAGAAGGAAGTGAAGAGTGATGACTCCCCCACCATCTGCTCTGCGTTTGCGGGGGAGGGAGGGCACATGGCTGTGAAGCTCCTCTGAGCTGGGGGCTCCTCCCACGGCCAGTGAGTGCCAGCAGGACCCTGCCAGAGACCAGTGCCCACCAGCAGTGCCTGGGCACTGGCAGAGCTGCCATCTGCTTCCTCCAGACAAAGGTTTTGGCTCAGAGCATCCTGGGATGGGCCTGGCTTAATTCTTTCTCCCTGCAGAGGCCATCCTGATTTTCTTTTCACTCTAGTCCAAAATTCCCCACTTCTCTATTTTTAAAAGATGAAGGGGGAAACCAGCCTGAGCTGCTCAGGGTCTGGAGCTACCAGATGAGCACGGAGAAACCTGGAGCAGATGAGCACAGCCTGAGTTCAGAGAAGCCCCAGTGAGGGGCACCCCCTCCCCTCCCCATCCTCCCACTCCACTGCTGTCCCGGTGCAACTCCACCAGAGCCACACGCTGCCATGGCTCAGCACAACAGCTCCCAGTGTGACAACATGACAAATTAACCCCCCTTGTTCCCAGCCTTGTGCTGGGCCAGGGAAGCTGAGGGGAGTGCAGCAGGGAGAGCAGGGAGGAAATTCTTGGTCCTTATGCCCAACAGCTGCAAAAGCACCTGCTGAGCTATTGGTGCTGGAGATACTCCAAAGAATGGTGGTAGTTTGGGGTTGTAGGTGGCAGCAGCAATGAAGAGAGGAGGGAGAGCAGAGATGCCCATGGGCAACCCTCAAGGCTGTTCTCTAACTCTCCCTTTCAGCTCTTTCACAGGAAATCTGAGACCCAATTTTACCCCTTTCCATAGAAGCCCTATTTGCTATTGGTGACACAGGATGCTCCTGAGCTGCAGCCACCTGGGAGCATTTGTGATTAATAGCCAGCAACCAGCCTCATGTGTGGACTCAGCTTTCACTGCTGGGCATGTCCCAGGGCATCAACACATTTCCTGGTTCACATTTTGTTCCTCAGGAACATCATTCCATGATGGCTGAGCATAAAAACCACTTGTTAAAAGTAATTTTCTTTCCTCTGGGAGTACTCAAATGTGTTGGCATGGTGGAAGAGCAGACCCCCCACTTCATCTCACTACTTGGAGTGTCAGAGATTTGATTTGATCCATTTACAATCCCCCTTAGGGTGAGGCTAAGGCTGATGCGTCTCTCCTGGAGAGGCTGAGCACTCCAGAGTCCACAGGTTTCCAGGCACATAATACAAACAGGTGACTTGTAGCGCCTACCTCCAGCCCAGGAAAGCCAGACACAGGTCTCTGTCTCCTCAGCCACCCTGTCTTTGGAGCCCCAGTAAGGTGCAAGCTCTGGAGCCACTTCCAGCTGCCCACTCTGGATGCTTTTGCTAATACTTGACTCCACCAGATCCTCCTAAATCTCATGACCCTCCTGCTTAGCTTCTGTATTTCAGCTCACCAGCAGCTTATCAGCTCAGGCTTAGTGCAGAGCTGTCCCACCAAGGCTTGTATCCCACCACATCCCTCTCTGTGGGAGCAGCATCCCTCTGTGACGGTGCTGGTGTGAGCCATACTGCTGTGTCCTGTTGGGGCAGGGCAGCCACATGTTCACGTTCTGCTCAGGAACCCGTTAATTCTCATAAAGAAGTCGAGTTTCCTGTGAGCCATTTTACCTCTCACCACAGCACAACTTCCCTTTCAGAGCAGCATCTCAGCTAGTTTTTATGCATGGGGGGAACCTGCCATGTTCCTCTTGACCAAACTCCTTGTAAGTCACTTCAGTCCTCATAGCAGAGAAACGGGCTACACTCTACCTGCTACTGCCTTCCTTTGGCATTGCTGAATGGACATCTGCCAGGTGAGACCTTGGTGAGGGAACTCTGGTGGGACTCAGGCAGGGTGTCCAAACTCCCTCACCTTCCTGTGTCCCCACTGCTGTTTGACCCTATCCTGGTCGCAGAGCATCCCCCTGAGTGCTGAGATGCCGTGGCTGTGTCTATGAAGAGGGGCTGAAAGGGACTCCTTCAGCAGCTGACAGTTGTCTCTGTTTCCTACTGATGCTGCATGGGATGCCAGCATGAATCCCCCTCAGCACAACCCTGCTGCCCCCAGACCAGGGCAGGCTGCTGGATGATTCTTGGCCATTGCCAGCCCAGGATGTTGTGCCTGGGTTTGTTAAATGCACATGAAACTGGAGTCAGACATGAACAACACATGAAAACAAACTGCTCTTTTCCTGGCAAACATGAGCACATTTCCCTTCTCCCGCCCTCTCCGGCCTGGCCTCCCAGCCAAGCGGACCCTCCCTTCCTCCCCATCCATTAGCAATCACCCTCTGCCTCCTTCCCCTGCCTCCTTCTCCATTTCCTCTCAGATTTATCTCACATTTCTGGGAAGGACCCGACCCTGGGCATCCTGTGGATGCTCTATGTTCCTCCCAGTGACCGCAGGGCCATGGGTCACGGTGGACCCTACAGCCAAGCCCCTGGTGCCAAGAGGGGCTCCCTGCAGCATGCCATGCCAGGGGGCTGGGCCAAGCCCTCTGTGTGCCTTTCTCCAGTGGCTCTCCACCTCTAGGCATCCCATCTGGGGAAGGGTTAAATCCTCATTTCTCTGCTTTCCCGGCAGGCTGGTCTGGATGGAGAAAACATCGGAAACTGCCCTTTCTGCCAACGCCTCTTCATGGTGCTTTGGCTCAAAGGGGTCAAGTTCAACGTCACCACGGTGGACATGGCCAGGTGAGGCAGCACTGCAGCCCTGTGTCAGCACTGGGGCGAGAAAACCCCTGCTCAGCCCCCCATCAGCACTTCTTCCCTCTGCCCACACCACAGCCAGTTTGTGGCCACACAGGTGCAATCCCTGTGGGCACACTCCCCACCACACACAGGGTGTGGGGGTGGGCCAGCAGGGGACTTGGGCCACCGGCCAACATATGCATGGCCCAGGGACCCCCTATCCTGCTGGATGTAGGGATGAGTCAGAGGCACCACAGGGCAGACTGAGAGGTTGGAGGGGCACTTGATAGCTCTCCAAAGCCAGCTCAGCATGCAAGTGGGGATGCTCCTGGTCCTGCACCCGTTCCCACTCCCCCACCTCTGCCTTGGCCACTTACTCTGGGGACTGGCAGGGGCAGACAGGCTGCAGGCTCTGAGCCCACTTGTTTTCTCTGTTCCAGGAAACCCGAAGAGTTGAAAGATTTAGCACCGGGCACCAACCCACCGTTCTTGCTGTTCAACAAGGAGCTGAAAACAGACTTCATCAAGATTGAGGAGTTCCTGGAGCAGACCCTGGGTCCACCCACGTAAGTGCAAGCTCCCTACTTGCAGCTTTCGGGGCCTGACAGTGTTGTGCAGTGCTTGGCAGATTGCAAAAGCAGGGCAGGGTGCCAGGAGGAGCTCTGCGGGGCAGGGGCTTCAGTGCTGGGGGGCTGGGTCCTCCGGGGAGGGCATGGGAATGGCAGGATGCAAAACGATGGGAGGAAATGCACCAGCCATTGCACCCCATCACCGGGGGCAGAGGGGTGGTGTGGGGATGTCCCTGTGGGGACCCTCGAGCTGGTGTTTTTGCCACTGGCTGTCGCAGCTGGTGTTGAGGCAGAGGGGGAACACGAAACCCCCCTTTGCTCACTCATATCCGGTGTACTCAGCTGAGTGAAAGCAAATGCCCTTGCTTGACTGCAGCAGTGCAGATGGACCACAGGACTGCGGGGGTGGTTCCCCTCGGAGCTCACTGCCAGCCTGCCCCGTGCCCTGCACGGCCACAGCCTTCCAGCTGCTGCAGAAGGGGAAGTTAAAATGCATTTGTCACCCACCTTTGTGGACATGTCTGCCCTTGCAGCGTGCCCTGGGACATGTCAGCAAACAGGAGACAGTTCCTGAGGAAGTCATGCGAGCTTTTGGCTTCCCAAGACCCCTCTGTGCCAACGTGCATCCTCTGGGCTGGGCCACAACTGCCTGCAGGCAGAACTCTGCTCCAGGGCTCTGCTGCCACAGCATCCCCAAACCGTGGAGTTTGTGCCGAGATTGTCTCCTGGACACACAGGATAGATGACACAGCTCCCAGGGAGACAGCTGCAGTAATTCACAGCATCACAGTTCTCCCACAGCCAGATGAACATCCCCTGCACCCTCCAGTACCAGCCTTGGGCACTGCGGCCCAGGAGCTGCTGCTGCTGCTGCTGCTTCCCTGCTCCATCCCTGCCCTCACTGACACGAGTGTCTCTTTCAAGGTATCCACACCTGAGCCCCAAATACAAGGAGTCCTTTGACGTGGGCAGTGACATCTTTGCCAAGTTCTCAGCATACATCAAGAACCCACGCAAGGAAGCAAACATCAGTAAGGAATGTGGGTGGGGGTTGCTGGGCTGGGATCTGTCACACTGTGGCAGGAGAGATGCTTTTGTCTGAGGACAAATCTTGCCACCAGGTTAAGGTTCCTGCTGCCTGCCCCACAGAAGCCTCCTTGGGAAGCAGAGGGGTGGGTGGGAAGGGGTGAAGGCAGACCTGTACTCTATGGGAATAACGGTAGAGCATGGGGTGATGCTGCTCTGATCCCCTGAGAGCAGAGACTGGACAGAGTCAATGCTGTGCCCTGCTTGTGTGGCCTCGAGGGCTTTTTCCCTCTCTGAAAAGCCTGGGGGAGGCTCAGCCAGTCCAGCACAGCCTGGGGCTTAGCTGGGATCCCAGAGCACTAGACTCACTGGTCTTGGTTCCCTGCCCTCCCAGATTTTGAGAAGGCCCTGCTGCGGGAGTTTCAGCGCCTGGATGCCTACCTGAACACTCCTCTCCCAGAGGAGATTGACCAGGACAGTGTGGAGGACATCACTGTCTCCAAAAGGAAATTCCTGGATGGAGACCACCTGACACTGGCTGATTGCAATCTCCTGCCCAAACTGCACATCATCAAGGTAATGACACCAGCCCAGGCTCCAAGAGGGTGTGGCAGAGAGTGTGTCCCCATTCTTCCCCTAAGCCAGAAAGCAAATCTCCCCCAAGTCTGGGAAGTTTCAGCCTCCTCCTTCACTCCTCTTCCCTCTAGATTGCAGCCAAAAAGTACCGTGACTTTGAGATCCCAGAGGACATGACGGGTGTCTGGCGCTACCTCAACAACGCCTATGCCTGCGATGAGTTCAATCACACCTGCCCTGCGGATGAGGAGATCGAGCATACCTATGCCAGTGTTGCTAAGAAGATGACCTAACCCCAGTGTGGGGTGGGATAGCAGCATCACCCTGGCCAAGCCCTCTGCCTCCGCAGTCCTGACACAACCAAACCTGGACGATGGAGGGGTTGGAGAGGGCTTACAGCATCGCTACCCCCGTGCCTTTCATCGCTACCCCCTTGCTTTTGCAGCCCCTTCCGCTGCCTCCTCCTCCTGCACTGCTGGCTGCAAGCCTCCGGGAGCCGTCAGTGCTGACCATGCATGTGGGCTGGTCCTGTCTGGATGCAGCTGCATCCCTACTCCCTGAAAATGGGTCTCAGAGCCTGTGACTATGGGTTGTGGGAAAGCTGAGCACTAGTCTCCCGCAGTGGTGCTTTCGTGGAAGAGATGACACCCCCAAACAGCTGAGCCAGCCTGGCCTCCCCATCTGCAGCTGGGGCTGCCCTGCCAGCCCTGTGTGGTCCCAGACACCCCATGTTTATCCCAGGATCCTAGTGCCTCTCCTGGGCTGGAGCTATTTGAATTTGCCTGGTGCCTCCCTGCACAGGACCTGGGGCAGTGTTTGGGCAGCCCTCTCTTCCCCCAAGGCATCCATTTCCCTCTGAGGACATGGAAAGGCTCTGCCCCAGCAGCTCATCACAGTGACAAACTGTGCTTGCTGCTCAGGGGTGTGACATGCATCAACTGCCCCAAGGACTCAGGGGCAGGTGGGTACTGGGGGTGATGCCTGATGTGACAGTGCCATGACCTGCTGTGGAAGGGAACAAGGGGACCCACAAAGGGCTGAGGATGGAGGGCTGAGGATCAGAGCATCTCTTCTATGGGTGCCAGTGCCCAGGGCCCTGTGCTGCAGGCTGCAAGGTCCTGTGTAGCTCCTGCTAACTAAGAAGCCTCTCCGTGCCTTGCAGGACCCTGCAGGGGATGAGCCATGTGCAGCTCTAGCTCCACACTCCCCCAGTCCCCACCAACACTTTGGACACCTGAGACTTGAGACCGGCCACAGGGCACATTTTAGTTTCCACACTAGAAAGCCTAGGAGAGCAGGCAGCAGCTGCTTGGCAAAGTGCTGTGTCTGTGGAGAGGCGTGGGCAGGTCTGGTGCCCCTTGGCTCGGTGTCGTGCTTTCCAGTCCCCTGTTGCTGATGCGAGAGGCGTTAAAGCTGCTCTGCACATCCTATGCTCCCCACTGTGACACCTCCAGCTCCCCCAGGACTCCTACCAGAGCCCATCAATTTGGCCAACCCTCTTCAGCCAGCCCCAGGGTGAACTGATACTGTACAGTGAGCGCGGTGGGTTCTGTGGGAACACGGCAAGCAGAGCCCCCTCAGCCCTCACTGCCATTCCCTCTTTGCACTAAAGGTGTGTCCTTGCAAGTCCCCCTCTGATAGCACTGGGTTTGGGGACTGGGTTTGTTATTAATGGGTTTGGGTTTTGGTTTGTTTAGTTTTTTTATACTAAGAACAGCAATAAACTATATTTTAATATGCCTTATGGGTGTGCTGTCAGCCAGGGACCACAGCTGCTGGCATGGAGCATGCTGCAGGGCGGAGGGACTTCCTCTCTGAAAACTCTTCTGAGATTTAGCAGAAGTGAAGCTGTAACTCCAGACTCTTCCACCCTGGATCACTGGAATGCATGTGGCAGGAGGGATGTCCCCTCCCAAACCACAGGCACTGCCATCCGCCCATGGAATGTGCATGGTGGTGGAGGATGCAGAGGACCCTGTGCAGCGTGGTGATGGAATGACCACAGGATGCTGCTCTGGTGAGAGGGGTTTAGTGAGATACTGCTGGCAGCCCTGCCAGTCCCTGCCGGGACACGGTGGTCACTCTGCCTTGCTACAGGTCCACTGCTATGAGAGAAATACTATCCTGAACCCTGGATCCTTGTGGGCCTCTCCCCCTGCCCCATGACACCTCTCCTCTTCTGCAGACCCTCCACAACCAGGTGTGGAGTCACACGTGGAGCCACCAGAAGGCACTGGGACAGTGGTGTTTGGGAGTGAGCTGGCAGGCAGGCAGAGCTTCTCCTGTACCCCTCACTTGGTGGAACAGGAGCAAGCTGGGAGAAAAAGGAAAAGATGCAAGGGGCTGCAGCAGCACTGGGCTAGAGACAGGAAGTGTAAAGGAAGGAAGGGAGATGTCTCTCTGCTCTCTTGAAGTCAGTTCTAGGAGAACATTCTGGGAACTGTATGCTGGTCCACACCATGGGCACCCTCCAACTCAAACCATGGGCATCTTCCACCCCACACCCAGCCCCTGGCTGCTGTGGCCTCTCCACAGGTCCATGGCTTTGGTCCCTGGACATGCTGGGAGCTGGGCACTCGCCTCTCTTGCTGACCACAAGAGACACTCACCTCTCATTTCTCATGGAGTGGTTGAAGGTGCACTACCCAGAGATCATTACACTTGCTGCAAGTCCCCATCTGTCAGGCACAGATCTGACTGGGACACAGCTGAGGTGAAGCAATTGTCCATCCCATCTGGGCATGCCACTCAGCTAGGACCTTTCTCCTAACAAACATCTGTATCTAGCCTGTTTTCCATTCCCTGGGTGCCAGGTTTCATGCTATAGAATGAAAAATCCTGGAGCATGCTCATCACTTCTGCTGTGGGGACATGGGCAGGAGAGGGTCACCATGGAGAGGAAGCATGGAACCCCCCAAAATGCAGAATGCATTGTGAGATGATGTTTGCCTGGCTCAGAGGGCAGCTCTGCCTGTGCTGTCACCGGGAGGGTGAGTCATCATGGGTGGCAGAGAGCTACTGAAGCAGTTTCAGAGAGAGGGAAGGCATTGAGCTGAGCCATCATTCCTTGTCCACAGACTAGAAATCCCCTGATGTGCATCTGAAGGACAGGGAGCACAAGGACTGGTTGTATCTCACAGACCATGGGAAGGGCAGGGGCAAGTGGTTAGACTCCTCCATCCAACACAAGGAAGGTCATCCTGTGGAGCAAGGGGACCTGGTGACAGCTAGGTGACACCTGACTCTGTCAGCTCAGCTTCAGCAGGGCAACCATGGCACCTCCTGAGTGCAGACACTTGCCACACATCCCCAGGCCAGGGCACTCCCAGACTAGCACACGAAGTGGGACCAGTTTTGCTCTGCCTTGGGGTGACTTGGATGTCCCCATCACCCTGCTTGGGTCCTGAGCTGCTGAGCTGCAGGAAGGCTCCTGCCTGGAGAGAAATGGCACAGGTCTGAGTCAGCAAGTTCGCACACATCTGCAGCTTGTCAGCCCTGTCTCCATGCATGTTCTCCGAACACATCATACTCAGGATCCAGCTTTTGGGGCTGTCACAGTCCCCACCCACATCCCAGTGGCCTTCCTGGCCAAGCCAAGCAACTGAGACACAGTGAGCCAGTGGCCTGAATGTTGCAGCTCAGACCTGTCAAACCACAAAGGGGTGTCTCTGGACAGTGCCAGGGAGGCAGCAGGGCAGCTGCAGTGACAAGCAGGAGGGAGAGTGGGCAGAGCAGGGTGGGCATAGGGCCAGGCCAGACCCTGCCCTCTGCAGCTCTGACTCCTGTGGCTTTCAAAGGCAAATGGGGATGTTGCCTGGTACTGGCAGCCTGAAAAACATTAGAGCTTGATTTCCCCTGTTGTTTCATGGGCCACCATGTCCCTTGTGTTTGTCAGGCGTGATAGTTCCTGCGCAGCAGCTGCAAAAGCCCTGTTAGCCCCCACACAGCAATTTTCCATTCTCCACCACTTTCACAGGCTGGCAGTTCTGTTATCTGAGAATTAGTAATAAGAAATACCCTCTTGCACAGTCCTAAACCTGCTGTTTCTAATAAAGAGCTATTTGCAGCTGCATCCTGCTCATTGCTTTGATCTGGCACTGGAGAGAAGGCAGGAACAGCCGACTGATTGTGGTGAGTCAGAGCGTTCACCAGCCCCCGCACCAGTACCTGTGGGCACAGTGCTGTGCCATGGGCCTGAGGCACAGCCAGAGATGGCATCTGACCTCTGAGATGATGGTGCTGTGGGGTGGTCTGGGTGCCTGAGGCCCAGTCACTGACTTGCCCCTTTTCAGGCTGTGAAGGGAGCATGGGATGTTGAGGCTGAAGCCAGGTGCACGCACATGCCTGAGGCTGCAGCAGTGATGGAGAGACCAGCTGGGCATCCTGCTGCACAGGCCTGCCTAGGGCTGGGGGCTTGCCCTGACCCAGTTCCATGCTCCAGCACATCCCCATCCTGCTCAGCATGTAACATGTGGACAGGCAGACTGAAGTGGTGTCTAATCCAGACGTTCCACCTAGCCCCTGCACTGTGTATGTTGGTGACAGGTCTCTGTTGGGATTTGCCAGGACCTCAGCCCCCAGTGGTATTGCACCTTGTCTCTGTGCCTCTGCAGAGCCCCACATGCCTCTCACACCTCCGACGCAAAGCAGAGAACACCCTCTCGCATCCACTCGGAAACTTCAGCTGCTAAATGCCACCTTGAAATGTCATGAGCCTTCTGTCTTTTTCCACTCTGTATGAAAGACTCATTCATACCAGCAGGAACATCCCAGCTGCTCCATCCACCCCTGGGCCAAGGTCAGCCCCTGCTGCCGGTGAGTAATTGTCTGAATCACCTATGGGGATCCCAGCACCATCACCCTGCTATGGACTCAAAAAAGCTGTTTCTCTTGTGACCTGCAGAGGCCTGGCTGGCTGTGATCAAAGTGCTGGTGTGAGCCCAGCACCCATGACATGGTGGCTGTGGGAACCAGCCTGGTCCCACTGCACCAGGCCAGTGCCTTCCAGAAAACCACCTGTGAACAGCATAATAGATGCTCAGCTGGGCCTAGAGGAGCTCCTGCTGGGATGCAGCTCCTACCCAGAGCCTGTGGCACAAAGAGTAGACCAGCTCCAACTGATGCTCTTGCTGAGTGGTGCCTTGCTGGTGCCCAGGACCATGCAGTGACCTTCTGAAGCAGCTTGGGGCTGGAGGCCCTGTGGGCTGAGGAAATGAGGTGATTGGTCAAACAGGGCTCCATATGTGTAAGGTTTGACCATGACCTCAAGACAGATCAGAGACTGTGAAGCACA